TTTCTTGGGTTCTTGACACCGGTTGTGGTTATCACATTTGTTCTAATGTGCAGGGACTAAGAAGAAGTAGGGATGTGGAGCAAGGAAGGATCAATCTAATCATGGGGAACAGAAGATCGTCGCCTGTGACCAAGATTGGAGTGTATTCTTTAGTGCTTAAGAATAGTTTAGTTTTGATTTGAACAATTGTTGCTATTCGCCAGAAATGGCTAGAAACATCATTTCATTTCATGGTTTATATAGACAAGGATTTAGATTTTCTTTTAATAATGAGAATGGTTCTATTTTGGCTTATCTAAATGGTGTCTTTTACTTTGAAGCTATACCATGTAATGGAATATATGAAACTGTTATGATTGTTGATAACTTAGGAAATGATGTTTTGAATATTGATTCTTCCACTAGTATGGATAAAGCATCCTTGTGGCATTGTCGTCTTGGACATGTCAACAAGAAACGCATAGCCCAACTCCAAAAGGATGGAGTGTTGGAGTCATTCGACCTTAGGGAAGATGACACATGCGAGTCTTGTTTACTTGGAAAGATGACTAAGTCACCCTTCACGAGTACTTGTGAAAGGGGTGAGGGCTATTGGACCTAATACATACCGATGTATGTGGACCTTTAGATCAACCACGAAGGATGGGAACCGCTTCTATGTGACTTTTACCGATGATTATAGTAGATATGGGTATATCTATTTAATCAAGCAAAAGTCAGAAACCTTTGAAAAGTTCAAAGAGTTCAAGAATGAAGTGGAGAATCAATTGGGCAGGAAAATCAAGATGCTTCGATCCGATCGAGGAGGAGAGTACCTAAGTCTTGAATTCCACGATTATCTCAAGGAGTGTGGAATAGTTTCGCAATTGACGCCTCCTAGGACACCGCAGTTGAATGGTGTGGCAGAAAGGCGTAATCGAACCTTATTGGATATGGTTCGCTCTATGATGAGTCGTGCTTCACTACCTATCTTCTTTTGGGGGTATGCCTTAGAGACTGCCGCCCATATCCTTAACCGAGTCCCTACTAAGAAGGTTGCCAAAACACCTCACGAGATGTGGACGGGGAAAGCTCCCTCGTTGGCACATATCAAGGTTTGGGGTTGCGAGGCTTTCGTAAGACGAGATACTCACGACAAGCTTGAACCTCGAAGTGAGCGATGTATTTTCATCGGCTACCCGCAAACTTCCTTTGGATATCTCTTCTATAGACCGAAAGATAATGTTATCTTTGTTGCGAGGAGAGGAGTTTTCCGAGAGCGAGAACTCATAAGCCAAGGAGACAGTGGGAGGCAAATCGAACTTGAAGAGATTCAAGAATCGATAGATGAAGGAACCTCTACCGCTGGCATTCAACCCGAGGAGGAAACTCCGGTTGAACCGATTGACGAATCCTTACCTCTTAGACGTTCCGATAGAGTTAGAGTTCAACCCCAGTTTTATGGTTTTCATATTACTACCGAAGGGGACACGTATATTAGTGATGGTACACTAGTAAATCTTGATGAACCTAATAGCTATAAGGAAGCCATGGCAGGCCCGGAGTCTGCGAAATGGAAAGAGGCGATGGATAGCGAGATCCAATCCATGTACGATAACCAAGTTTGGAATTTGGTTGATTACGTGCCCGAACGTAAGACCGTAGGGTGCAAGTGGATCTTCAAGAAGAAGACCGACGTGGATGGGAACGTACACACATATAAAGCGCGATTGGTTGCGAAGGGCTTTACTCAAACTCCCGGAGTTGACTATGATGAGACCTTCTCACCAGTTGCGAAGATTAAATCTATTAGAGTGATGCTAGCAATTGCCGCATTTCATGATTATGAGATTTGGCAAATGGATGTCAAGACCGCTTTCCTTAACGGAAAGTTGGCTGAGGATGTTTACATGGCTCAGCCAGAGGGGTTTGTGGATCCGAAGCATCCGAATAGAGTGTGTAAGCTTGAGAAGTCCATTTATGGACTTAAGCAAGCGTCTCGCAGATGGAATCTTTGCTTCGATGAGAAAGTCAAAGAGTTTGGATTTGTACGAAGCGAAGACGAATCTTGTGTATATGTCAAAGCCAGTGGGAGTATAGTAAGCTTCCTCGTTCTATATGTCGATGACATATTACTCATAGGAAACGACATCCCGACTCTGCAGGAGGTTAAGTCCTGGCTCGGGAAGTGCTTCGCTATGAAGGACCTCGGAGAGGCTTCTTACATTTTGGGAATAAGGATAGTAAGAGAAAGAAGTAAGAGACTAATTGGACTTAGTCAGAATACTTACTTGGAGAAGGTACTAAAACGTTTTAGTATGGAAAACTCAAAGAAGGGAGAACTACCGATACAAGGAAATGCCAAGTTGAGTAAGACTCAAAGTCCGAGTACCGAAGCTGAGATAGCAGAAATGAGCCGAGTACCATACGCTTCCGCAGTTGGCTCAATCATGTACGCTATGACTTGTACTCGCCCTGATGTAGCCTTCGCTTTGAGCATGGTTAGCAGATATCAAGGGAACCCTGGCAAAGCACATTGGATTGCGGTGAAGAACATCCTTAAGTACCTTCGGAGGACGAAAGAATGGTTCTTAGTCCTTGGAGGGAGTGATGACTTGAAGGTGCGAGGGTATAGTGACGCCAGCTTTCAGACCGACAGGGACAACTACCGTTCGCAGTCGGGCTGGGTCTTTACCCTAAATGGAGGAGCAGTGACATGGAAAAGTTCCAAGCAGGAAACCGTAGCTGATTCAACGTGCGAATCAGAGTACATCGCAGCGAGCGAAGCGTCGAAGGAGGCAATATGGCTGAAGAACTTCATCGGTGATCTTGGAGTTGTGCCGGCCATAAAGGAGCCCATGGAGATTTTCTGTGATAACGAAGGTGCGGTTGCCTTGACCAAGGAACCGAGGGATCATGGTAGATCTCGACATATCGACAGAAAATATCACTTCATTAGACATCGTGTAGAAGAAGGACAACTCGTAGTGAAGAGGATATCATCAGAAGATAACCCAGCAGATCCGCTTACGAAGGGACTGAGTAGGGTTAAGCACTTGCAGCATGCTAGGAGTATTGGGCTGAAGGATGATATTAGCATAGATTAGATAGTATTAGAAACGTATAATAGATAAATGTAATTAACATTTGATGATTAAATAAAGGAGTTTATTTATGAGTAAAGTTACTGTCACATGTTAGTTGTTTAACTATTGTTTCACTTTGCATGTTTTGACTTCCAGAATAATTGAGTTTATTAGGAATAATCGAATTATTCAAATGGTCCACAATCGTTCATATGTTGGGAGTAGATATGAATGAAGATTGTCATGAATTGGTGTGTAGAGTGTCTAAATGGTGTTAGACATAGCAAGGGTTGCTGCAACGTTCATGAGTGCTTATGAACTGGTTTTGAGCATTGGAATAAACCCGCGCTTGCTGGAATCACTTTATGGAATACGATATAAAAGGTGATCGCAAGACGATAATATCATATGGTCTTAAAACCTAGATATATGGTTTATTATTTGTTAATTGATTGTGCATTGATAATGCGAAAACGCATCAGTAACTTGATGTTATAAAACGCATTGTTGTGTATAGTTGGTTAATGAATAAGTAAATGCATATAAGTCGAAGTTTATCTGTAAATTTTATCCTAAGAGGATAGAAGAGATATCTTGGCCACTCGATGATTTGATTTGACTTATGTGCCGGGCCCGGTCAGAACTGAATTGATGTGTTCGATTAAGTTCTATGTCAAATAAATCGGAGATCGAGAAATCTAAATGCTAGACTAACCATTCCATAGGATTGTCAGCATGATATCTAACAGAGGACTGTACGATCCCTTATCTAAAGGACAAGATTGATTAGATCAGAGTTGACAGCGTCTTTGAGAGCTACGATTGCAAACCGTATTGTACTTGTATAGTTACTAGACTTATCCAAGTGGGAGACTGTTGGAATAGTGTCTAAGGCTATAACTATATTCGGTTGTGCATGGTCCTTTTGGGTTGCCTTCACCATAGCAACTTGAAGGATGATTTATTAAGAGAGAGTAAATATTATAAGGAATAATATTTGGCTATTTGATTAATATAAGTCATAAATTAATTGGTATTAATTTGGTGACTTAAAGAGATTAATTAAATAAGAGGGTATAAACTGTCAATTGTTTGATAGTTAGACTTTAGACTGTAAATCCATTAGGATATACCTTGGACGGATTCTAAGAGCTTTAGGATAGCTCAAATCGTCCATAGGGTTATCTATGGAATGGATTTGGATAGCCTTAAGAGAAGATTATCCAATTAGGGTTTAGGGTGAAACCCTTAAGGAGTCTACAAGTATAAATAGACCCTATGGGTGAGGGAATTCGACACACAACCTTAAGCAAGGAACCTCTGGCCGAATTCCTCCCCTCTCCTCTCTCCTAAATCATCTTGCTTGCTATTGGTGTTTGTAAGCCATTAGAGGAGTGACAATTGTGACTCTAGAAGCTCCAAGACAAACAAGATCAACAAGGAATTCAAAGGTATGATTCTAGATCTGTTTCAATATTGTTGTTTAACCTAATTAGTCATTAGAAGTCTTGGATTCAAAAGCATGTTCATTAGAAAGCCTAGATCCAAGCATTAGGGTTTTGCATGCGCACATAGGAAAGTTCTTATGGCTAAAACCCATCAAATAGATCTTATATGAAAAACTTGAAAGTGTATATACAATATATCTTAATGATCTATACGCCAAAAGAAACCATACAAAGATGGTTGTCAACTGCAGTTAGCTGCTATTTACATACCGAATAGACCTCTATATTCTATTCGCAAAAGATACTATTTACATATCGAATAGATCCTCTATATTCTATTCGCAAAAGATACTATTTACATATCGAATAGACCCTCTATATTCTATTCGCAAAAGATACTATTTACATATCGAATAGACCCTCTATATTCTATTCGCAAAAGATATGTAGAAGATAGTTACCATGTTTAACAAACCACAAACCACAGTTACTTTGTTTTTTTGGAAGGTCTTGGATTGCTTTCCCGAAGAACATCTTCTTTCACAGGAAGTGCTAAAGGTGGGACCGATTCAGAAACTTTTTGTTCAATTGGAGAGGAGCTGGAAGTTGGAAGTTCTGGAACAAGATGCTTTGTCATTAGAATTGGTTCTGGCTTATTCTTTGGAAGCAAGTATATAACAGGAACTTGCTTTGAATTCTTAACTTCAAGAGGTTTTTCAATTTCACCAGCCGATGGCAAAGGAACTGTGGCTGCAAGAGAAGACACATTCTTGGTTGTTGATGTGCCTTCACCGATGTTTGATCTATGGACCATGTTATCAGACTCATTTGATACAGTAGCACGATCATTTACTTTGTAAGCTTTAACAATATTCACTTTGATGTCTGTTGTTCCTTGAAAATGCACTTCGTATGCACGAACGAAAGCAACAATATAAACAGACTTGATTGCAGTGGCAATGGAATTGCATAGACTTTGACTCTGTTACACATTAACAAATGTTAAAAAGAATTTATATAATTATAAACTAACATGTTTTTACAAGGTTAGATAAAATGTGTATTTATCGTTTCTTCACTGATTTGCACATCTTTTGGAGAGAAATGTATAAACTTTTCAAGTTCAGGTGTGTGTAAATTTGCTTTCATCACTCCACTTTCATCGGCAATCAAAACAGTTAACCTTGACCTAAAGGAAATTTCATAGGTGAGAAAAAGTATTTCAAGAAGGGAGTAAAAGAAGATTCACGCTTACATCTGTTGAATTTCTGACTCGATGTGACAAGAAGGACAGGTAACAATCCAAGTTGTGTCGGCTTCTATAGACTTGAAGCAATTGGAACAAGCAGTGTATGATAAGTTACGTTCTTGTTCAGGAAGACTCAGGGTGCCTTTCACCCAAGCAGTTTTCATCTATTTTATATGTGATGTAAATGTAGATGAAACAAATTACATATGAAACATAATTGTAAAAATGAATTTTTTTTAAAGTAAAAAAATAGCTTACAGTGTCGAAATGTGAAGTTGCAGAAACAATAGAAGATATGTTTGTTTCAGCTGGATATGGTAGAAGGAAATCATTTCTTCGGTAGTTTGTGACTGATAGCAAGTCATTTATTTCCTTGCGGTTGTTATTGTACCTAATTTTGTCAGATAGATGTATCAGTGTATAAATCAAGATAAATAAAAATAGAAGTTATTTAATAATTTTAAGAAAAAAATACGGTATGAACAACATAAGTAATACCATGTGCGTGATTGCAAGTCGTCCCTAACTGGTGGATTGATGAGCAAACCTGAATTTGGCTTCGTTGTTAAAGAGATGGTTGTTTCCATTTTTTGTAATCAGTACAATAAATGAAGTTTTATTGTTATAATATATATATATATATATATATATATATATATATATATATATATATATATATATATTATTCGGTAAAAAGGTAAATAAATTACAGTTAAAAGTCGTGACTTTCAGCCTCAGTCCAAAGAACAAAGGGGGTGGGCCTTGCATTGACTGCAACATATTACCATCATGTTCATCGAATTGGTTCCACAGAGTGATCACCAAAGGCAGTTTTCTATAAAAGAAAATTGTAATGTAATCAATGTAATGTATGTAACTAATAGTAATAGATTATTGTGTGATAAAGAATTTTATACTCTTCGTTGATAATAACGACATCTCTCCGACTGACAAGGTCAGAACCTTGTTCATAACTGGGCAAACATCGTACAACGATGCCTCTGACATCTACATAATACAAATATATATATATATATATATATATATATATATATATATATATATATATATATATATATATATATATATATATATAGTTAATATTAAGAGAAATAAATAAATAAACAAAAAATAACTGTTATGTAAATAGAAAAAGTATTTTACTTTGAAGATGTTCTGATTCAGCATGTTCATGGAGCCTCGTAAATGGAGCCTCGTAAATGGTGTGAATTCAAAAGTACAAGGTAAATTCACCGGATTGCGATCAGGATGTTATTGTACAAGCGTTCGCTTATTGAGCACCCATGAAAATCCATATAAGCTAAGTGCATATCTTGGATCACATGGGATGAGAAACGCATTTGAGATGCGATACCTCCTGTATTGTGTGAATGTTCTTGCATAGTAGTTTAAATTCTCACTGAAAATAATTGCTGTGAACTTTAAGCCTTCAGAATCTGTTAACATCAGTCGTTTGTAAGAAGACCCTTTTTTAGTTTGCAAAACGTGTTGACATTCTAAGATTTGTACAAGGGCTGTCCACCGGTTGTGAGTTGCCTGATTGATTTCCATAATCGGAGTAAGCTGTGTAGACATGTTTATTTAACTACAACATAAAAATTTGTAAAAAAAGTCAAGAGGCATACAGGTAAATTAAGAAAATGAAAAAAAATGAAGAACGACTCTTCATAACAATTAGGTAAACTTACCGGATCAAACATGTACAGATTGTCTTGTTAAGAAATTGATCAACAATAACAGTAAATATATAAGGTAAAAAATTATTATGTGTAAAATTGGGAAATTCGAAATCCACGTGTAAATATCTTAAGTAAGGAAAAATAACAGATGTTGTTGGCTAACAGCACATCGAAAACAAAGGTATGACTGATGATTGTTTATACTTATCTAAAGAGATCAGGTAATTGGAATTGTCTCCGATTGCGTGTCATCAGATTTGATAAACCAACACATAAGATACGTCATAAGGACAAAACATTGAAAGAAAATAGATCAATTTTTGCATTTTCTGTCTATCTAAACAGACAGCGTAAAAAATAACTGAGGTTCTGATGGATAGTGGCCACGTGCGACCTAGTAAATCAGAGTTATGTGGAGATGGGATGTGTGAACAATAATCTATTGAGATGAGAATACCTCTATTTCCCCATCGTTATACTTATGAAGTGGGATTTTAGAACCCCTAAGTTGGCTTCTAAATTGTGAATAAATAAGTGTAGAATATTTACAGCCATCGTTTTACGTTGCCCATTAAAAAATATACGATTGGGTCCCTAAACTTTAAATGATGGTAAACGGATTATTATTATCATAAATGAAAAAATTCCTCTAAATATGTAAATAGGATTACAGGAAACAAAATCCGTTCTAAAGTAAGTTTAAACTGAATTTTAAATAAATATTTTTTTTGTCATATAACTGCAAATATTAAAATTACCAAATAAATATACACGGCATATGTAAGGGTACTCGTCAAAACATATACCAAATACCATAGTTCAAATTCAAATGTATTTAATAATGAGAGAAGTCTAAAAAATTTTGCCTAATAAAAATGGATTAAATTTTGGGAACATACAACTCTACACTAAGATCGAGTAAGATATACAATAACCTAAAGTACACATAAACAAAACATTCTTTAAAAAATAAAAATAATAAGCATCAATACATAACAACTTTTACATATAAATTGACTAAAATATCCAATCAGGTTCAATACACATATTAAATATCCTTAAAGCCAAAAAAACAAAAAAAAAATGTGTAATAAAAAAAAAAACCTTATATATATATGGACATGTATAATGAAAGAGACATAAATTGATGAAAATTAGCAAATGATTACTTGTAAAATAATTAAAAAAAAGGATATGTAGAAATGGAAAGCATATTATTAAAGGTGGAATTGGAAATAGGTGATAATAATTTTAAAATAAACTGAACCATTAAATGGTCTTTCTATATGTTGCAACAAGAGGTACAGCTAATGTGAATGAGAATGACTGAACCAAGAAAATAACTTATCTTTCATGCGATAGCGAATGTTAGATGGCATAAATAAACAATAGAATTGTATAAAAAAGATGGTAACAGTTACAGCAAGGTAATAAGATTTCCTTACCCATAACAGCAATAAGCTTTCATTTTCTTACCAAAACTTTATGCCAGTAACATCTATTTTCTCCTACTAAAGATGATCTAATTTCACACTTTAGTAAAGTAAACCATCCGACCTGACATAAAGAAGTTCATGTTTACACCAATATGCCCGTTAAACAAAGTGGTGGACCATTTTGCTCGGTAGTTACTGATGGGTTTTTCAATTTGGTTAAATGAAAGATTTTGCAATGGTTGTTAAAAATGAAATCGAGTAGTTATAATAGGTGCGGGAGAATCTTAGAATACAAATTAGTATTTTTTACATTTTTTGATATAAACGAGTATACATACCGATCGGTAACTACCAAGCAAAAGAATCAATCACTTGGTTTAACGGGCAGATTTGTGTCAAAATGGTATTGTTTATTTAGGCAGGACAGTTTGATTAACTAAACTGTGAAAGTAGATTATCTTCACGACGAAAAAATAAAGGTGAATGGTATAATTTTTGGGTAAGTAAATGAGAGTAAATTGGTATTATGGGTAAGGAAATGAAAGTACGTTGTTATAACTATATATGAAAATGTGTCATAGTCTATTGTAAGAAAGATTATAGCTAATTAAAGAAAATTTGTTATTATTTTAAATGAAACTAAATCTTAATATTAATAGATAATTCAGTTGTGCATATCAAAAGTTAGTCTATAGTAAAGAATTTATAAGTAACTTATTTATTGAACATTAGATTAATTAAAAGAAAACCATTTTGTAAAAGTTGCAATGACCTGTTATAATTATGCAGTTAGATCAATACTAACAAATTGAGTACTCTTGATTTATCTTTATAGCCATTATTTCATCTGTTTCCTGTCAAGTAAATGAAAAACTTTTATGAGAATGAGTAGTATAACAAAATTAGCACGTGACACTTAAAAAAAAAAGTCGATTACCAATAATTTTAATTGGCTTGTTGGGTCTTTCATGTTGGAAACTGTTGAAGGGCCAGGAAATGATAAACCAAAATTAAGCCCACCATAAAAAACAACCTAGTTTAAGTTTCCATCTCACCAAAACATGAGGCAAGTATCACATTCAACCGTAAGCACAGAATGAGGTTGATTCGTTCTACTTAACAAGTACAGTAAACGTAAGAAAGATTAGTTAGTAAAACTTATATCCAAATGGCATACATTACAAGCTTTACATATTTAAATATATGATATAGTCTACCTAATCTCCTGATCTAATGTTTAGATTTCATCTTGTTGGTGAAGTTTTGTCACTTCCTGATTGAATACTGTTCCAGAGGGGTGTGGTTTCGATACCATGTGAGTAGGTTACAGCCTATAAGAAAGTAAACACATACATATTGACATGCAAAGCAAGAAAGACTGTCATGTTCAAATTAATTTCAATAAGGGTAATTGTGTTTGTAAAACATAAAACCGAGGGAGATCCTAAAAGATACTATGTAAAGATGTTTAATAAAACTGAATTGAGAAATAGAGTAAAGATTAAGGATGTCCTCAAATGTGAGTACGAACAGCGAAGATGTTTAGAAAAAAATATTTTATATTCAAATCAACTGATAAAAGGTAGCTGACCTTTTTCATTGAAAAGCAATGAAATACCATGCATCCTGTAGTTGCAAAGATCAACAGGTACCTGTGGTAAAAAGAATATTAAATGGGTACATGAATAAAAGAAAAATAACAGGAAGTTGTAGGAAAAGTACCTACATCGACAGCTGATGAGCATGTTGTAAAATCTCTTTATAGATGATATTCTTAGTTGTTATATTATTTGAGCTACCATATGCAGATCCCGTTATAAAAACTTTAATATTGTTTATACTTTTTGCTCTCGAAAGTGCTACATACAACTGACCGTGAGAAAAAACAGGTTCTTTCAAGTAAATGCCAACATAATCAAGTGTTTGACCTTGAGCTTTGTTAATGGTCATTGCAAAACACAATCTAATTGGGAACTAAAATCTTTTAAATGGAACTGTATATTGTTCTCCTGTTGGTGGCTGTAATGGAATTCTATGAAGCAAAACCTCTTTTCCAGCAAATTCTCCATAGCTTATCTCTGCACGTATAACATTCCTTTGAAAATCTTTACAGAAAAGTCTAGTACCATTACATAAACCTTCAAAGGGGTTCATGTTCCGCAACAAAATAATAGGAGCATTATACTTAAGAACAAGTTTATGAGGTGGCATACCATTTGGTGTTAAGGAATGAAGTAAATCCTCATACTGGGCCTGATCATTTGGATCAATAGTCTCATCAAGACTAAAATATTCAATCTCTTCTCCGGGCAATTTGTATATCAAAGTATCATTAATCTCATCTACAAAAGTATTTTTAGTTGTTAGAACAACACGATTACAAGTGGGAGAGAAAGTGGCAGGAGTAACAAAAATGTTAGGATAAACATATTTCATAAGAGCTTCCAAACCGTTAACATCATTACAACCCTGAATGAGCATTGATGATGGTAGAGAAACAACTGCATCGTCTGTATGAGTTCCTATACCATTACCAAGTGCCAAAAGGAAACTTGAAAAAAAGGATCCAATAGAGCTCGCATGTTTTCTGTTAGCTGCAAATGGGTAAGAGATTGCCATAAATAAGAATTAGTTAAACAAGCAGAAATAGTTTGTGTTTTACTTCCTAGCCTAACAACAGGAAGAGTTTGTCTGAAATCACCACCAAGAACAACAACTTTACCACCAAAAGTAGTTGAACACTCCATTATATCTGTAAGTAGACTATCCAAGGATTCAATTGCAGATTTCTTTGCCATTGGAGCCTCATCCCATATAATCAACTTACAAATCCTAATCAGCACTGCTAAAGAGCTTTGTTTACTAACCTTACATACAAACCCTTCAACCGCATCCAAAGGTATTTTAAAACGCGAATGAGCTGTTCTGCCACCAGGCAATAATGATGTTGCAATACCTGATGTAGCTGTAGCCAAAGCAACATGACCTTCAGATCTAATTTTAGCCAATAAAGCTCTATATAAGAATGTTTTCCCAGTGCCACCTGGACCATCGATAAAGAAACAACCAGGTTTATTGCAGCTAACTGCATCCATTATCATTTCAAAAGCAACCTTCTGTTCTTTATTAAGAGTATATATTGCAGCCAAATCTTCAGTGGAAACAACAATATTTTTTTTCTGTTTTAATCTCTCTAGTGTCGTCTTCCATCAACCGATCAAATGAATTTTGGGGTAGAACATCAAACTGATGAAGACGTCTTCCCATTGACTGCAGAAAACAATCAATCTGTTTAAATGCACGGGCATTAGATTCTTTGTGTGTCTCTTTGTGGTGGCGTAAAATGTCTTCCATCATTGCATCTTCAAATAACAACCACAACTTGCGCGGACTATTTGGATAGGTAAAAACTAAAAGTGAAGCAAAAAGCCTTCTCAACTCATATGGCATGTGAAAAGTAGAAGCTTCTTGCATACATACTTGTTGAGTAGCATCGTCAAGTAAATAACCACGTAACAAAGTAGTTTCTCTAAAGGTAGCAACAGTTACCCCGTTAATCATTTTTAAATCAGCAAACGATTTAGGACAGCGAACTCTAGACAAAAGAATTCTAAGATAATACCTTTCGCCTTCAGTTGGATGGGCAATCACAATACGACCAATTGAGTCACCTATTTTCCGGGGTGACCACATCTTTTTATCCCCCTTCCAAACAAAATGATCAGGAAACTGATTGTATGTGAGCTTAAGCTTTTTTGCTAAAACTCCAATATCATTTTCAACAAAAAAAAAAACTCAGTCAACATAGTTTTTCTTTGACCAGAGTTACTCAGAATATTAACCAATGTTGATTTACATTTGAATGTCAAAGGCTGATAGTTTTCTAAATGCAAGGGCAAATGAATAACAGCTGGTTTCATTTCACCCAAAGGAAATTTAAAAATTCTCCATGCACCTTCAGGAGGAGAAACCTATCGACCTGATTGATACTCATCAATCTCATTTATAAGGACATGGTTTGTAATTGGAGAAATATTAAAGCTTATCTTGTCAGAACCCTTACAAATATACTTATATATATACTTCACAGCCTTTATTGATGAACAAATTTCTATATTAATGTGATAGTTAAATTTACAAAGCAAATAGGCATTATACGAAACGACCCATTTATTATTAAGAATAGCACCTCTGACTTTCACTTCAGACCCATCGTTACGTCTACGATATATAGGATATGCATCGTCTGTCTGAATAGTCTGAGAAGAAAAGTCTTTTGGGTAAAGATTTTTACAAGAACCCTTCTTTTTCATACATACGTTAAAAGGATTTAAAGAGCCACATCTAAATCATATGTTGCACAACCATCCTAAACAAATGAGGATTTGCACTTTCTGATGGTATTTCTGCAGAAACAATTTTGTCAAAGTCTTCAGGTGTATGCATTTTACAATTGCTTTCTAATATAAGCAAAAAATGTGCATGTGGAAGTCCTCTTTTTTGGAATTCTATAACGTAAGTGTGAGCACAAATTTCTCCGAAAATGTTATTCTTGAAAAGTTCATGTTTAAGTTGTTCTACTTTAGCATGAAAAACTCTAACAATCAAATCAGCTCTATTTTGGCCTTCTTCATATGGTTTAAGATTTTCTTTTATTTCAGGCCAATTAGGATTGCACGTCATAGTTAAAAAAATATCAGGCTTACCGAACTTTTGTACCAAGGCCATTGCATCTACATATTTTTGTCTCATGTTTCTAAGGCCGCCAATAAAATTCGAAGGTAATACTATTCTTCTACCAATAGCAGAACCCTCTGTTTCCCCTTTTGCCATTGCATCCACAACTCCTTGCAAGAATTCTTGTCTTATTTCTTCCTATGTATTCTAAAAAAATCTAGTCTTTGTGTTTCTAATTTAACATAGCTGTCAACTATATACTGCTGTAGTAATCTACCAAAATAGAGTAAATAAGTTGTGTCATCATGCCTTATCTGAAGCTTATAAGCATAATACTCTCTAACAGATACAACCTTGGGGTTATCTACGTTTCTTCCAAGCACTGTATCAAAAAGAGAAAAGAAGTAAAGCACAATACATTTTTCCAAAAAAAAAAAAAATAGAAAGAGTAAGTATTTTACCAGTTTCTTCCATCTTTAATAAGTCATCCGCACACGCTATATGATGGGTTTTGGTCATAAGACATCCTATGTGCTCATACAAACCCTAATGCTTGGATCTAGGTTTCTAGGTTTCTCTATTGTACATGCTTTGAATCCAAGACTATAAACCCTAATTCTAACATACAAGTAATCATATTAATATGTAATTAGGTTTAAGATCATACCTTGATTGTTATGTAGCAATAACAATCCCAATTCCTCCTTGATTTGACTTTGGAAGGCTTAGAGTCACAAGTGTCACTCCTCTAATGGCTCACAAACACCATAAGCAAGAGGATGAAGAGGAGAGAGGTTGGAGGCTGCCAAAAACATGTGTAAACCCTTACAAGAACCTTAGCCACGTTTTTGAGCCTTAAGGGGTCTTTATATAGTTGGGCTATTAGGGTTATCTAACAAGGAAACCCTAATTTGGATGCTTAAGCCCTAAGCAACCCATAGACTCCTTTTATTAAGCCCATGGACGATTTCCTTATGGGTTTCCCATTAGAATTCGTCCATCCCTTAATACAAGGCAATCCATGGCCCAAATTGCAATTATCTTATAATTACAATTCTAGTCCCTTAAGTTTAATTAATCTCTTTTAGTCACAAAACTAATTACCAATTAATTAAATGACTAATATTAATTAAACAATATGATTTCTCCTTTAATATATTATTCCCATAATATATTAATAAATCATATTTAATCCTTTCTCTCCATAATTCATCCTATCAAGTTGCTTTGGTGAAGGCAACCCAAAAGGACCATGCACCATCGGGTCAAGTACATACCAAAATAGTTATGGACTTAGACACTAATCCAACAGTCTCCCACTTGGATAAGTCTAACAACTATTCTGCATATGACTTCAGATCCCGATCTGCAATCGTAGCTTTCCAAAGCCGCTGTCAACTCTGATCCTATCAGATACGCGTGTCCTTAGATAAGGGATCATATATTCCTCCATTCTAGATATCGTATGAGATATGATTTCAAATCATTCTCTTTGTACTATATCTCGATTTCCGATTTATGACGACAGACTAATTGAACAAATCAAATTAGCCCTAGCCCGGCCGAGCATTTACGTATGTCATCACTAAACCATCGAGGGGCCCAAAGATATCGCTTTTATCCTACTTTGGATAAAAGGAACGGATAAACTTTGATACAATGCTCGCTTGCACTCACTCACCGAATTACACACAACAATATGTTTTATAACACCAAGTTACTAGTGCGTTTACATATTATCAATGTGCAACCGATTCGCAAGATACAACTCACACATCTCGGTTTCAAGAATATAAGATGTTATCGTCTCACCAATCACTCGTAATACAATTCATGGAGTGATCGAAGTGAGCGTGGGTTTAATCCAATGCTCAAATCATATTCATAAGCACCATGAACGTTGCAACAAACATTTGCTTATGTCTAATACTTTTCTAGACAATCCACACACCAATTCATGACAGTCTTCATTCATATCTACTTCCAACATATGAACGACTGTGGCCCGTTCGAATAATTCGATTATTCTTAATAAACTCAATTATTCTGGAAGTCAAAACATGCAAGGTGAAACACAAGAATAATACTAATCCCATATGGCCTCAAACCTTTGAGTATAAACAAAACACGTTTTATTTATCACCATATCGATTACTCATTATTTGTCGTTTCGGGTAATCAACTTTTTACTTGAATTATTACACTTGTCCCATGCTCCTAGCATGCACACAATGTTTACCTATGGTTCTTACTTTTGTGAAATAGACAAATTGAACACATTTCCAATCATTCTCATTTCACAACTCCAAATCCATTTTCTTAAGTGTAAGAATATCAAATTCTTGTTACTTATAGAATATACTAGATTCTAACACTTTATGCAACGATCCTTTTGTAATGTCACTGCACCAAAGTCTCAAAGACTATTGCCAATAATATTACAAATTCCTCTAACGTAGATTGTTACAAGACAATTCCTTAGATATGATGTCTCTCTCTCAAAGTACATTCCTTTGAACATCCTTTTGCATAAAAGTTTCTAATCTAGACATAGATTTTCAATATTTACTTCCCAACATGGACACGCTTCCATATTTTCCATATGACAACTCATTCTTAATACAATCTTATCTATTCGTAATGATGTCGATATTGTCCATCCAATATGGAAACATCTCCATAATTTCCAATACTATACTTCCAACTACTCACAAGCGACCAATTCTCGTCGAACTTCGAATCGTCCTTTGATAGTTGTTTAATTATTTTAGTCAGAACCAATTCTAGTCCCTTTTCCCTCTAAATGCGCTAGACATTTGGAAAATTTTAGAATGGTCAAACATTAAAGCATTTGCAATCAATCCTATACCTGAAGCGTATGGGACACGATGCCCAATGTTTTATTTTCTATGTTCTCAAAATTCGAATTGTGAAGAGGAATGTCGTAATCATAATCGAAACTTTAAGAACACACTATGTACCCTTGACTAAGTTTTATTAACATTTCACAACCTAATCCTTTAAATTTGAAATGAAGCATAATATTCTCTCCCTTAATTATAGCAAAACAACCTTTCAACTCTTACAACTTTGCAAAGTATGACTCTTGTTTTCTATAATTAATATTGCCAACTATGCAATACTTGCCTTAATAATCATACAATCATAACATTTATGCTCCCACTATCATGATGATTATTATAAAACATAACACTTATGCTCCCACTAGCTTCGACATGTATTCATAAACATCTTAACTTTCAGAAAACAATACTATTGAATTTCTTAAGTCCATGTTTTAATACTTAGTGCTTTGATAATCTTTTATCAAGACTTCTTGAACTTATACACTTTTGCCTTAGATAGTTCATATGTGTGTCTTAACAATTAAGACTAATTGCCAAACCTCACAATTCAAATTATGGAAAGGGATGCCGTAACCATGATCGAATTCGAGAATGCAATTTTACAATCACTATCTTTTAAAATCTTTCTTAGTGAAAGCATTTTCTCACAATCATTTTCATGAAGGAGGAAATCTTATGACACTTAGATTTAAACGGTGTATGTGTTCCTATCCATGTGAATTTGTTAAAACCAAAGTTTACGACAAATTCAAACTCATATGGATCGAACTTTCTTAATCTTGATTTCTTGCCTTATGGTAGCACAGCTGCCCACCACGTCTTCCAAGTAGTTAAGTAGCTCACCTTTTCCTATCAATGTACTTTCCATTGATCAAGGTCCTTGCCTTTTATGCATTCAAATGAGAACTCATAGGACTCACATGCATAATTAACTCGATTGGATTGGCACAGAAACAAAATAATGTCTTCACGATAGGTTGTAAACCTCAACTCGTGTGCTAGTGATGATCGATAAGGCTTATTTGATTTGTTCTTGAAACTTTTCAAGACTATTAAGACTCCCACTGACTCCTTGACATATACGATTCTCTTATCAAAACATTTTTGATAAACAAATATTCAAGAGTTAGTGTAGCTTATATCAAAACA